ATTCATCCTGACGTTATTCCGCAGGTTTGAGTAAGTTAGAGGTCCGTACCGATTCCACTTACGCCAAGAATTGCGTCACTGTTTGGCTGCCGAATTGGAGGAGCAACAATTGGCAGACAACTGCTAATGAAGATGTCCTGAATCAAAATGAAATCCGAGCTATCGACGAAGCCTGCAATCATTTGGAAGTGAAATTTGTGAGTTTTTCCTTTTTATATAAAATTTCGCCATGGGAAAATTCACTTGTATATTTAATGTTATGTTTTAATAGATTAAATTTGTGTCTCCTATTGAATGTATTTCTTGTTTCATCAGTCTTTCTGGGTACAGCATACTGTATCTTTAAACTGAAAATTTCCTTCACACTCTATGAAAGTTCAAGGTGCCTTCATTTATTTGAGATTGGTTGCATGATCATGATATGAAGTTCTAACGGCATTCTTCAATTTAATGTATTGTACATGGAAATTCATGAGCTATCCGTCGAAAATAAGAGAATACTGTTCGTCACTAGGATGGAAAATTTAAAACAATGTAAAAGGTGATGATGATCATGTGCACTAGTGCTCCTTGTTCTCAGTGTTGCTTTCGTCTATAAATGTTTTTATCTTCATAGCTGGCTTATTTTTCAAGAATTGATGCGTAATTTCTTTTCAAAATCTTTTAGAAGTGGATACAAGCTCATTCCGGCGAAGAAGGAAACGAAGCTGCGGACCGATTGGCGAGGCTTGGTGCGGCTGAATCGTTGAGAATTTCGAAGAGTTGAAACTGGCCCATTTATTGGATGTCTGAAGCATTTTGAAGATTGTATAATCTCTAACAATCTTCGGGATCTTCTCGCCAGAAGCTAACAGAAGTGAAGCAATGAGTGACCTCCAAGCTTCGTACATTCGTGCGAATGAGAAGTTTCTTGTGTACAGTGCTTAACTTTTTGGTAGGTCGCCAAGTTTTTCTCCACAACTTCTCCACAATTGCTTATTGGACATTGTAAAAGAAGATGTTTTGTTTAAAAATAGGGAGGAATCCTTCCGTGGGGGAATTCGTCCCGATTTTTTCGCACCATTTGGAACAATTTCGCAAAAGAACCCGTGTATGTACGCATGAATACAAAATGAAACAAACCAGAAAACTCAACGAGAACATGATCCTCGTGCTGT